TGGTTACCCCCTGCTCTGACCTTGCTTTCAGTCATAAACCCTAAACTGGCATTTCCTGCACTGCATATTTTGCTTCGTTCCTTCAATTGCAGTTTTTTGCTTTTCATGGGAGCTTTTCTGCCCAGCTTTACCCATCGTTGCTACTGTAAACAACAGTTCGCCTGCTAGATGGCACTGGCCATCCACCAGCGCCGGGACCGAAGGCAGGTGGCACTGAAGAGCCGTGAGGGCACATGGCCACCCTTTGGTCGTTATTCTGTTTACTTTCTGCAATGGCATTTTCTTTGCTCAGATTACTTCACTCCTCACCCACAGCACTCGCTTGCCTCCACAATAATTCTACCCATGTCTTCTTCCTGCTCTAGCATGAGTATAAACTTGCTGTTAGCACTGCTACAAAGGGCTGGAGCTTCTTCTGAGCCCATCAGTTTGTTAAAAACTGAAATTAAACCAAACACCTGAAGTTCCTCTGGGTTTCAGTCACTGACTTGAGTCTAAGTATTTTGCAAACAATAACTTATATGGGGGGGGGGGGGGGGGGGGAATACAATTAATTAAACTTGTCTGCTTGAAAACAGCATTACAGAGCTATTGTGAATAGATACTAAGGACTAAAATACAAGAATGGTGTGCAATCTGCTTGTTCTTTGGATTCTGTTCTAAATTCTTTGTATATTGTTAGGGCAAAAATCTGTTTGTCATAGCTACCTTGGATGTGTTGCATTCAATGTACTCATTAACACACCAAGGAGGAAGCTGGAGCTTTCAACTGTGTCTGCAGAGCACCCAGCACAATTCATGCTGCCACCCTCTCCATGCTCTTTTCAGAAAAGTGCTAAAAACCTCAGAGTCAAACAAATCTAGAAAACAAAGTTAATGACAAGTGTCCAGCTGGAAATAGAAGAAGAGCCTCTTTCTTCAAAACATTCACAAGCCCAAATCATCCTCCAGAACATGCCCATTGTGCCACAGTGTCTGCAAGCAGTGCCACCATCACCCTTCTAATCCAGCCTTTCATCTGAGCATGCAGCTCTCTGCACCTGAGCAACCCGTTTGCTTTCACACACAGGGGCACGTTTCACCAGTGCCAGATGTGCCCACAGTGGGTGTGATTTCTCAGAACTTGAGGGTGTACCCTCTGTTTGGATGGCAAATTCCCTGGCTGTGGTTGCTTGGAGACATTACAGGTATCATGGTATCTGCCTTGCGTGCCTGTAGATGTTTTCCAGGTAGGTGTGGCCATACTTCAACTTGGCTCATCAGATTCTCCACAGATGTCCCTGGTTCTAGTGACAGTGCCAGGTCTAACTTTCTCATTAGTTCTTTTCCAACCTTATAATTATCACCTATATATGAAGCTGAATGCAGCGCTGTATCATACCATATCATTTCCAGGTGCCAGACACCTAATTTCTATCTTTTTTTTTTCTCCTCTCTACTGAAAATGTGTCCATCTCTCAGTTTCCTGAGGGATGCTGCAAACTGATCATTCCCAAACCTAGAGAAGATTCAAACACAAGTAAAGCTTTTTAGACTAAACCTTGTGCTCACATTTTAGGATGTTTCTGTCCATCTTCCCAACCTTCTTTCTCCCCTTCACTCTCAAAAGTTAACACCTGCCTAGCAAAGTTGGCAGACAGGCTGAAATGCTCGTGCCTCAAGCCATTCCTGTGAAAAACTTGGCACCTTTGTTCAAATGTCTGATGAAAGCGGGTTTGAACAAAGATGTTGGTTTGTGAACTGGCAGGGGCACACAGATTGTGCTGGGGTGGAAAACTTCAGCGGAAGGAAGGAAGATGAGGGCAGATGGTGGCATTGTTGAGGTCTTGAAATGCCACACAAAGATTCACAAAAGTGGCTCTTTCTAAACCCAAATGTCTAAACTTATCTGAAAAAATATCTATGATGCATGTAGCCCCTGTTTAGATAGTGCAAGGACTTCTGTGTATTTGCCTACCAATTCCTCTGGCACAGCATGAAACAAATGGCGTGAAACACCTCCCTGGCTATTTGCAAGGCCACTTAGCTTTAAAATACAGCTCAGAGCAGCACCACCGATCTTAAATTAACTTTCCTGGTGGGGGAAGAGTCTTGAATTGATCCTTATCTACTTCACTGGGTCTTGTGCTGACAGTCAGGTTTGCTGTTCTCACCACTGTTAGTGTTCTGCTCTTTATTGGGTGTACTGTGAACAAACCACCAGTCCAGACCCTTCTGATATGGCTGTTGTGATTTGCCTTATCTTTATTTGCTCCTCAAGCCACTTTGGTAAAGCTGAAGAAACCATGTCCTGCAAAAACTTTGAACTCTGGATGAGCAACTAGAAAATATCTTTATTATCAGGGATGGAGAGCTTAGGCTGCAGCTGGGATCCAGCTGAAGGGCATGCAGACTGCAGGGATCTGCACAGGAAGTGGCTGAGAGAGTCACTGGCATTGTGGCTATTAGGGAATTATTAGACATGTGTTAAACGTAGGCTTAGCTTCACTAATGAATCACCTTGCTGAGGCTACAGAGAATTTTGGTTATGGGTGGCTGTGAGGGCACAGAAGGAAAGGAAATATCATCTCATACTTGGAGCTAATACAGTGATTCCTACATGGGATAGTGGAAGTACTCCTGTGCACGATTACAATAAAAACCTTTATGTGCATTTCTCCAGTTATTAGAGATTAATTAGCTATAGATGGGAGAGAGTGCTACAAAGGGGTAATTCAGATTTCTGCACAGTTGTACTTTGTGACAATGGTCAGTAAGATTAAGATGTAAAACGTCAAGTGAACTTAACATTTTACAAAGTAATAGGTTGAGTTTGCAGGCTGGGCACACTCTTAGTGTAAGCATCTGAGTAGCCCTTCTTACTCAGTGTGATCACTGATGTGCTTTAAGTTAAGCATGAATGGAAATTTTGCAGGACTAGGGATGCATAACACAAATAACTCTTCCCTCCAATATACTTCCATAGGTAAATAACTTTAAAAAAAAATGCACAAACCAAAACTTCAGATTCTGTGGGTGCAAAGGCCATGTCTGTATCTGTGCCCTGAATAATGCAAAATGCAGTGACAGTCCTTAACACACAGATATGAGTGACAAAAAACTAATATGCAAATAGTGCTATGCGTGATGTTTCCAAAATTTGTGTGTAAAACTAATTTCAGATTCCAACACATGTACAAGCTACAATCTATATAATTTCTCTTAGCACGCACTTAAGAGCTCATCAGTGATGGGAGAAATAATCTTAATAAATGCCTTTTTCATTGCTCAAAACCTGGGAGGGAGCAGCAGTATTTGGGTTGCCGGGAGGCAGTGGTCAGGCTCCGGGCTGGGTTTCGGGGTGTGGGTGGCAGGGAAGGGGGGCGGCTCGGGGTGGGGGAAGCCCTGGTCCCTCGGTGGGAATTACTCAGATCCCCGTCCCTTTCCCAGCCCCGCCGCGGCAACATTTATTGCAAAAGCAGGAAATTGCTTATTACTAAACTAGCTGGCAAGGGAGCAGAGCCGATGCTGTTCCACACTGGCACAGTACTTGCTTAGCTGCTGCTTTCCCTGCCTCTCCTTGTTCCGCTCTTTCTTCTTCTTCTTTTCCCTCTTTCTCTCCTCTCTCCCTCGCTCTCTCCTCTTCTTTTTTTCATTTTGGCTTCTATTCAAATGTGGGTCAGGGGTGAGCGGCTCCCAACGTCACAAGCTTGCAAGATGGCGCTGGGAGGAAGGCTGTGAGATGAGGAACAGGCTGGTATAAACCGAGAGGACAGGAGAGGGAGAGGAGGAGAGGGGAAAGGGAAGAAAAGCTGCTGCTCCAGATGCAATAAGAAGGTAACGCGGCGGGGCGCGGGCGGGGGCGCGGGTCCCGCGGGGCGGTCGGGCGCTGCCGGGCTCCGCGGTGCAGCCCAGCCCCGCTCCCCCGCTCTTTATTTGCAGCCCCGGTGATTTGCCCATCTGCACGGGTCCGCTCGGGAGAGTCGCCGGGGTGGCGGGGGTGTCCCCTTGTTCCCTGCCCTGCATCAGCCGTGCCCGGCACCGGCGGTACTTCCATTGAAAAAACCCGAGATGGTTTCTCTGTTCTTGCCCCCCTCTCTCCGTGCCCCGGGCCCCCTCCCCTCGCTCTCCGGGCGCGCTGCCCCGTTGCTTCGGGGGCCGGGGCGTGCATCGGTGTGCTGGCCACCGTGCCTGTCTGGAGCTTGCAAATGTTGGTTATTTGGTTGAAGCGGCTGGAAACTTTCCCCTCCTCCCGTGCCATTTGTGTGTGTGCGCACGGGTGTGCGCTGCCCCTTCCCCGGCGGCAGTGGGGTCGGGGCGGGGGGCCGCAGCTGCTGCCCGCCGGGGCCGGCCGGCGTGGGGCTGACCGGCGGGGCGCGCAGGCAGCCCGGAGCAGCCGCCTGCTCCCCATCCACACTCGTCCCTTCAAGTGAGCCGTATTGTATTTTATTTGATTTTATTTTTGCCCCGAAAGGAGGGAGAGGAGCCCCGGGGTGCCGGGGGGCGTGTTTGTGCCGGGGATCTGGCCGCATTGTGGAGGAGAGGGCAGGAAAGGGGCTCCCGGGACTTGCATCGCCTCCTTCCCGCCCCCCGCGGTCCATCCGCCGGGCTGCGAGGCGACGAGCCAGGCCGGCATCCCCCAACCCCAGCGCCGGCCCCAGCCCCACCGAGCACCCCCTGCCCTACCGGGACCGCGGTGAACTTTTGCCCTGGCTCCCCCCTTCCCCGCCGCCCCCCTCGGCCGCTCGGGATCGCGGAGGGAAGGACCCGCCGGCCCCGCTCGCTCTGCCCGTCGCTGCGGGTCTCTGGCTTTTGTTACGGCCCCATCTCGGACGCAATGGACGGAGCAGGATCGCGCACCCTCCCGCGGCCAGGGGCTCCCCGGACCCTGCCCGCCGGCTTTGTGCCCCGCAGGAAATGCACGTTCCCCGGCCGCGCCAGCCAGCGTAGAGCTGTCCACCCGGTTAAAAAAAAAAAAAAAAAAAAAAAAAAAAAAATTAAAAAAATTTGTACGTCCAGGCTGGCAATATTACTGCCGAGGAGCTCGCCATCGCAATTGAGGGAACCGAGAGGGCTGGTTGCTGCCCGGTCCCGGGAGCACGGCGCCGCGGAGCCGGACCGGGCTCTGCATCTCCCGGCGCGCCGGTGCCGGTGCCAGCTCGGCGGCGGGGGAGCCGGGCTTTTTGTGTTTTTTTCTGGTTGCATTTAAAAGCAAAGCAAAGCCGGGGAGGGGAGTGGGGGCGGGGGAGGCTGCGTGCCGGCCCCCTGCGCGGTGCGCGGCCCGGGGAGCCCCGCGGTGCCCGCAGCGCCCAGCCCGTGCCCGGCCCCTTTGGTACGGGGCGAGAGCCGCGGGGAAGTCAATTATTGACTTCTGCTTGGCCGGGTCCCAGGTGGAAGTGGGCACGGCGGCGGCGGGCGGCTCTCGGCGCGCCCCCCGTTATCGGGGCCGCCAGCCGCGCTCCTCCCGGGGGCTCCGCGGCCGCCGGACACCGCGCCCGGCCCCGCCGCCGCCCGGAGAACGCCAGTGTACACACGGGGTCTGGGCACTCGAATCTTCTGCTGCGAAATCCGCATCCTCTGAGAACTCGGGTGGCCTGGGCGCTTCCAGAGACGGGTAACCTGGCGTTAGAATCTGCGAGTGGGGCGGGGGTATGCACACCTTTACACAGAATTAGTGAATTATACATGGAACCCAGTGCTTTAGCAGACGGTTACCGAAATCACTCAGAGTATTACTTAGATGTTAGAATAAATCTGAGAGAGCAGCCAGAAACCAGTTAAGAGCATCAGAATTACATTCTGCTAATGAACTGTCCTTTGACCAAAACTGGTTTAAATTTGTTGCGGAATGCTGTTTATATTTGAATAGCTCCCATGTTTTTCCAGAAATTAAGGGGAAAACAATATGCAATAGTCACTTTCATTAGAAAATGTCAGAACTATGAGCAGATGTTTGCTATGCTTGATAAATACAGTGTATAAACAACTAATATTTCATGATGACTTATTGCTATTTTTTATTACTCAGAACTATTGTATATACTACAGTGGCTCTGGAGAGAAAGCTGTAAATGACTCCTTAAGATTTCACAGCAAATCTACATGAGGAAAATGACATATGGAAAGAAAATTGACTTATTTCCACAACTGCAAATGGCCTCCTTTTTGCGCCTTTTCATTAGCAATCTAATTCTAAAAGCATTAGGAGCAATTATTTGCAGTGGTGCCTGACATTCTAGGTCTAATTATTTAAATCAGTTTAACTTTTGATGGTTGACCCATTAGGTCAAATCTGTGTGCCCTTTGTTATATTTATTAAAAAAAAAGAAAAAAAGAGGAGGGGAGGGGGGAGTCTTCAAACTTGACACCTACTACTGACATATCATTTTAGCTCTGGAGGAGATCAGCATTAAGAATAAGCAACCTCTTACATTTGTTACTTTCCATTCTAACGTGGGTAAGGACACCCTGTGCAAGTGCCTTGTTCTTTGACATCTAAAATCCATTGCTTAATCACGACAGACTTGTGGGGCTGCAGGAGTGTAAGCAGGAGGAATGGGAGAGTATGAGGATATGGCAGGTTTTCCTTATGTCATGCTTCCTAATCTACGTGAAATGCAGATGAGACACACACATAAAAGGGATGATTTTTCAGTATTTGAGGGTACTAGCTTCTTCCAAGGATCTGGGAGAGCTCTAAATCTTTAATGCATAAGGAAATAGCTCACGTTAGTATTCACGTACGTTTCTGGGTGGAATGACTTATGGATGTGTAGATAGTAATAAGTATTGCAAGATGCTTGAAGCACTTGGTATCACGTGATGAGCTGTAGTGTCAGTGCTGAATTGTTTGGCAGAAGCCGATGTGTGACAAGGGGTGGGGGGAGAGAGGAGAGAAAGAGAAGGTGAGAGGCCTTGTTCCAGAAGGGTACATGTCCAATTTATTTTGATTAGTTGTTTAAAATAACTAGAGAACAACATAATGCTAAGCAGTTTGGCTGTGTAATGGGTTTAAACTCTCTAGAACAGCCACCACAGCCCAAAATTGGTGATCACAGCATGAAATTTGAAGTTGTGAACAGCAGATCTTGCACTGAGAGTTGTCGTTTTCTAGCATCTTTACAGCCCATAGTAATTAAGAGCTGCCAAACATAAAGTGTACGTTGTGCATTCCTTTGACCTTGCAGAAAATAGTATGTGGCTATTCTTTGAGCTCCTGCTGCCTTCTTTGATGATAGATGTAGGGAAATGGGATGATGTTTGAAAACCGAGGTGCATTTGCCTCCCTATCAGAACTGTTTGTGCTGACTGCAGCATTTAACCCTGTCATCCAGTCTGATGAACATATCTCAGCTTGACAGCCAGAGGTATTGGTAGGAAGAGGTTGCCATGTTTTCTCTGCAGAAAACCAGGTTTCCCATATCCTAACCAAATCTGACTGATGAAGTGCACGAACAACACTGCAGCTTCTGCCAACAGACAGGGAAGAACATTGCCACAAAGTGACATTTCAGTGCTGCAGCAAATGTGGTGCTGGAGTGGAAGAAAGCAGAATCACATTTGTGCCATAGCCATTATATTGGCTGTATTGTGACAGGCGAAGCTCATTGGGAAGGGCCCATTTCAGCATCAGCAGCATGCCTTCCCTGCTGGGCTTGGAGAAAAATTAACAGGGCTCAGCTGTGGCATTGCAACAACAGAGTGTCAAGCCAACCATAAGCAGGAGAATATATTTAAAAAAAAATAAAGATGACTTCTTTGGATTGGTGTGTATTGAACACCAGTGACCGAGCCATTAGGCCTTCTTATATTGGTTTTTGTCTTGCTGTACAATCAGGAGCAAGGACAATGCCTTGCAACAGGGATTTCACTCTGCTGTGCAGTAGCTCGTTGGCAAAGAAAATGCATTGGTTTGTTCAGGTCTCCTGCAATCAGCAGTGACAGTGTGCTTACTTCTCTCAAAAGCAGCAGGACAATGTTAAAAAGATGTTCCTGAGCGTTGTATTTTCTTGTTCAGTTAGCATCTCCAGGTTGCAGCTGGTTTTAAGCTGGGTTTCTTTCCTTGAAGCATACGTGTATTGTGCTAGCTGTCCAAACTTGTAAGTTACTCACGCTTGTTTGTAATTCCTGGAAAGAAAATTCACCCTCCAGTGCTGGCTCCCACAAAACAAGGAAGAAATGAAACAGTGAGGTCAATCCTGAATTTTAAGCTGATACAAAATGAGTTGCTACAATAGCTGTAAAGGATGAGGCTCAACACATCAATAGCTGTACCTGCTGTAAGTGACAGGTGGGAGAAATTCTGTTCTTTTCATCTGTGTTTGGATGATGGCCCAGTGCTGGCCACAAACTGCAATCCAGGATTAATCCTCACATAGTGTTTTCTTTCTATGTATCAGATTTCTCATTTTGTTAATAAGCACAGCCTAGCATGCACTTCAAGTCAGCTGTTCTGGAGTGGAAGCAACAGGGTTTTGCTTTATTGAAATGATGGCTCTCATGCTTTCCTAGAGCCCGTATTGTTTGACCAGGGTAGGGCGGACTGTGATCCTTGTAATCACAAATCCTAAACAGGGATTCTAGTTACTGATTTTACTTAATGGAAAGGGGTGGGGAATGGAGTTTATCCAGGATTACATATGTATTATATCTCATTTTCGGATGTGCACCCTGCGGATTTGAAGGGGCTAAAGATTGATCTTCTCAACTGAAAACCTCAGGCGGGCGTTTGGAAATGGACCAATTGTTGGAAGCTTCCTTCACTTACTCTCTCTAATGGAGAAAAGACAAACTGAGCTGTCCTGCAGAAACTGTCAGAAGACAAGCACTGACAGCTAAGCTGGGAGAAGAAGGCTCTGAGTCTTCAACTGGCAATAAGAAGAGTTTAAAGAAGTGCAGGGATTGGTTTCCTGCTCAAAACAGTCACTAGGGTATCCTCCCAATAAAAGCATCCCTGAAAACAGGGCAAACTTCTTGCTTCTGTTGCTAGGTGTTCTGAGAGATCGGTGCAGGAGTTAGGAACAACCCCTCTTGTTGTTCCAGCTTTAGATACTGGATGGAAAAATGTGCCAGTGTTGTCCTTGCCCAGGTTCTGGATGTGAGGTAGGAAACATTTCATGTCAGTACGCTGGCCTGAGGCATTTGCTGTCCTTCAGTCCCCTGGGTAAAGGAAGAGGGGATGGCTTTCCATAATACATCAGTTTGCCCTATCCACTCCCTTCCCCCACTGAACCAAACACTGCAAGATAAAATTGTCTTCAAATCGGTCCTTTGCCATGAGTGCACAAAGAGACACACGATGGAGTGACTGGGGAGGGGCCTCATGGTAAACAACCTGACTGCTCTTCATGCTGGGCTAGTCCCATTCACGCCTGCACCCGTTTAGGGTGACAGGGGTGTACAGCAGATTCCTGCCCCTAAATGTGTGCTCATTTCCTGTTGTATAAAGAGCCATTCAGTGAGGGGATTCAGTTTTCTAGGAGTCACATAAAGACACTGCCATGTAGTGGCAGTAGACACTGCCATGCACTCACTGCATTTCCATCTGCTGTCAAGATGCCACCAGCCAGCTTGACAGTTTGAAAATCTTTTCTCCTGTTCGATAAAGAACAGAATAGAGTAATTTGCATTGCCAGTTTTAACTGAGAATTGAAATCAGCCAAAAAGAAACCTTATTTTAAAGCATGCTTGTTTCTATGTGGTAGTTACTCTCCAGCAGAAAGACTGGATCTTGCTGGTCTGTACCTATTAAAACATGTTGATGTGCAACTAAGATAACTTTAAAGTAAATTTCGTGTTAAGCAAAAGGACAGAGTTAACACATTCAGGCTATGATTCAACATGCAAATCAGAAACAAAATTAATTTAGTATGTTATTTTTTCTGAGAAGTGACTCAAGAAACTTCTTATATAGCATTAAATTCAATGAAATGTTAAACCTGAAGATTTTGAAGTATTAAATAAAAATATTTGTAAAATACTTTCTTATCAAAATACTTTCTGATGACCTCTTGAGGTCCCTTCCTGTATGACTTACTCTGTGATTTTTATTCAGCTCCAAATTAAACGCAAAGCAAAGGAAGTGTTCTTTGAGCAAAAGTGAACGGATTATTTTCTATTTTTGTTGCTCTTTTCTGAGTAGGGAACTAGCAGATACTAGTTTCTAACACCTAGTTTTCATTTGGAGGGAAGTCAGCTTTCCTGCCCTTCTGCCCCTCCTCAAATCTCAGTTGCTTTCTGCAGTCTGAAAGAAGTGGTTATTGAACTGCCCTGAAAAAACAGCCTCGCTGTCCAAAGGGTTAGCTGATTGCCCAGAGTGGATGAAGCAGTGAAGTAGTGGCTTTTTCTGTGGAGGGACAAATTGTCCTCAAAACTTCACTAGGAAAGACATACAATTGAAGAATGCTTTTTTAAAACAAGACCTGTTTAAAAGAAGGTTTGAAATTGTGACAGTGTATAGTGAGACTTGAACTTGTGCTGTTTTTATTTAGTGTTGTTTCCCCTATCCATGGAAGGGTGAGGTGCTTTGTTATTCCTGATTTCTGTTTACCCTTATAAAGTATCCAGAACAGTCCTCTTGTGGAACTTTTTGCATCAAACTCAAGGCCTTGAAAA